CTACTCCTGCAGTAGATCCGTCCAAGGCAGTTGATGAGACAATGCATGTGTCAAAAATTGTAAATCTGACACCTTCGAAGGACCCTTCGCAAGTTCCTCTGATCGATGACCTGGCTGTGGATGCGAATCCGAATGAAAATGAGGAGTCTTCTCTTCCTCTGGTGGTTTTAAACAAAGAGACATATGTGAACAAGGAGACAAATCTGGGTGAGGCAGATTCTGAATCAGGTCAGCCCAAGGAAGATGGGGACAAAAACAAAGAAGCCATTTCCTTAGGGTCCACCTCTGAGGACACTACCGATAAAGCCAGCAGGAAAAAGCGGGTCTTGAAGCATTTGCGTTTGCGATCTTCCAAGAAACAAAAGACATGAGAGTCAAGTGCACAGATTCAAGGAACTAAGTCTCCATCTTTGCCTAAGGGAACAGCTGTGTCCTATCAGAGTAAGTAAAGGAGAGTCTCTGAGCAGAGTGCTGACTCCATTCCGATTGAGATCAAGAAAAGGTATGATCAATACCTGAAACGTAAAGTGATTGCTGAGCGATTGGTTGATATGAAGGAAACAAATCAATAGGGTTATCTCGCTGTTATTCAGAAAGGTCCAATGGAATCTACTGTGTCATCTCTTGGTGTGTTTGTTGAGTAAGTAGTGGCTGAGTTCTATGCAGGGTTACATGGCACCAAGGTGGAAACTGACACAGAGGAGGTGATTATCAATGTTCGTACCCATCCCTACAAGTTCTCTCCAACAGTGATCAATGAGGCTCTGGCTTATGACTCCCTCACGGACGAGGAAGAAGAGATTGAAGCAGGAATGGATGAAGCATCGGTCATTGAGTTAGCAGACTTTCTCACTAATGTGACTAGAAAAGAATGGGACAATCTCACTACGGCTGATCTGACACCCTGCTATGAAGCCCTCATAATAATTGCTGCTCACAATTGGATTCCATCTACACACAAGACGCATGTGTCTCTTGACAGAGCGAGACTAATCTATAAGATGGCTCATGGAATACGAATAGACATGGGAAAGATGATTTTCAAGCAAATCATGAATCTGGGAGTAATTCAGAATAATGACTCTCGCTGGCTGATCTTCCCTAGGTTGATCATGGGACTTCTTCAGAAGCAGCACCAGGTTCCATCTCACACTGGAGATAAGATTGATCGTGCCATTGCTTACAAGAAGGACAAACGTGTGGGAGAGATTTATGAGCAGCGCAAGGCTAAAGGAAAGGCCAAGAGGTAAAAGTGAGGAAGTCTTCTCGTCCATCTCATCTGCCAGCATCTGCCTCACCAACTGCTACACCAAGCTCCAGGACCAGACCTCGACGAGTTTCTGTATACGAGCTGGGCTCCATTGCTGTTCCTCAGGGTGCGCTCACCAGGGCAGATCTGCAATCAGCCTTACAG